CCCTCCCCGACCACCCCACCCCCTCCCCGCCAAAAAAAAGAGAGAAAGAAGGGAAAGGGAAAGAGGAGAGCTAAAATGAAACACAAAAGAGGAAGAAGAAAAGAAAAGGGTGAAAAGAAGCAGAGATCAGTTGCGATTAATCCCACCAAAATCGCGTGGATCGGGGGGAGGGGGCGAAGGGCCCCTGCCACCCTCAGCAAACTTAAATGAGAGAGAGAGAGAGAGAGAGAGAGAGAGAAAGAGAGAGAGAGAGAGAAGTAAGAGAAGTGAAAGGGAAAGAGGAGAGAAAGGGACAGAAAACAAAGAGGAAGAAAAGACAAGGAATTAGGGAAGATCAGTTGCGATTTTCATTGGTTCTTCTATCATCATTTTACAATTATCATTGTACAAATGTATTTATATTTTCATTTATTTATTCCTGTTTGATAACAAAAATATGAATATATAAACTCCATAACATAACATAACAGCAACAAAATTAAATGTAGGAGGAAACTATCTTGCTGGGAGCAAGAAGCGCAAAAATTATCATGCATTTGCATGTACATGTCAGTGTATCATTAATATAATTCATGTTGTTTAATTACATCTTGTGAAATAGTATGCATTCAAGCTTTGGGGATTTTTTGTTGGTGTATTTGTATGAAAGAAAGCGTTTGGAGCTTATAATGCACATGTTGCAATTTCAGGTGCAACTTAGTGTTCAAAATTAAATATGGAACACGCACGGCCAGGCACTAGTGTAGGAAATCTTCAAATGTTAATCAGGTATATGACTAAATTACTTGTCTGTTGCCTTACGAAAAAGTTTATATTTAGTCAGGCCTGAATTGAGTCGCAAAACAATTACTATGTTAAAAGGAAAAAAAAATATTTGATGACATTCGAAATTCCCCAATAACCAATACGATTGGAGAGCGAGTACTCGTTTTCTTTTTCTTCAAAACTTACTCAACTATAAATAGCTGGCCCGGATACTTGAGCCTCTCACAAAACGCAAGTATAGGCCTGATGTGTCGTCAGTGGCGTCGCTAGTCCTTTTTCAGGGGGGGGGGGGGGGGGGATAGAGGTCAACGATTCCCGACAAAACAAGCCACCAATTAATTACCGACAAAATTAAATGTTCCAATATCTACAAATTTAAACCCTATAAACCCGGGGCCAAGGCTAAATGTATGCACAAATGGTCATTGTCGTCGACGACATCAATATACAAATTATTTCGTCAAACTTAGTAAGCATCATAGCTATATATTTTAATGCAGGCGCGTAGCTAGGATCTTATTTCAGGGAGGGGCGGTATTGAGCAAGCGAATCACTTAAAGAGTGCGCAAAGCGCTCCCTAGGTGGGGGGAGGGGATGGGTGAAAGGCATCCCGCGCGAAGCGCAGTAGCTTAGATGTTCCATTAAATTATTATGAAAAAAAGACGATTTGTTGTACCGTTCTCGACTCTTAATCCTGTCTGAATTCAGTTTCCCAATCTCACACGAAGCGCGGAGGCTTAGACGTTTCATTAATTATTTTATAGAAAGAAGACAATTTGTTGTATACCGTTCTCTACTCTTAACCCTAATTGTCTGAATTCAGTTTCTCCCCCTCTCGCGCGAAGCGCGGGAGCTTCGACGTTTCATTAAATTATTAGAATAAGAAGACGATTCATTGAACCGACTCTAAATCATTGTCTGAATTTTCAAAAATGTTTCTTTGTCCGATAAAAAGTCACAGTTCTAAGGGGAACAAATTGCTGGCCGACCGACATAAAAAATACCACCGACTTCAACCCCACCCCCCCCCCCCCCCCCTTTAGCGACGCCCCTGAATGTAGAGTGGCCTGAGCGGGTAGGTACAGGGCGTGGTTCTAAACTTACAGAGACACTTCGATGAAGACACCTTATTTCATGATTGCGTGTGGTGAACTGCCATATGGGCTTTACAACTTTAAACCTCCAGGGTTTATTTTGCATAATTATATAGGGATTTACATGATCATTTATATAATATAAGGAAATAATGAATATTCAAATATCATAGGTAGCAAATAAAGGATGACTAACAGAGGAATGAAAACAAACAGACAGGAGAGGATGATCAAGCATAATGATGTGCACCACTCTATAAATGTGAATTACTAAGTAGCCTGTTCACACTACAGCTCTACAACAACAAAGCATTTGTAGCCTTACTTTTAAGCAGTTGAAGAAATTAATAAAAGTAGGCCTACTTGAAGAAATCGTTGAATTATAAGATATTCAGTTTATTTTATTAAGTATGACAAAACACACATTTAACACCTTTGGAAAAAATAATACCCCAGGAACGTGAAAAACAAAACTTTTATTGTCACACATGCCTATAATCGGACATATTTAAAAAACGGAAATGTGGCACCACCCACAAATATAATTCTGAGATCCTTCTTTGTCTTTAATTTGCACCTGAAAATAAATTCTTTGTTCCTCGTCTATGTCATCGCGGCGAAAAATTTCAGACTTTTCTTCTTTTCATGCAGCCTCAGACAAATGTGCCAAAGAAGTTTTGTCTTCTTGTGTTCCTGGAAACAAAGTTTGGGCAATAGTTTTCAAGTTCAGTTTATCTTTACGAGATTTATTATGTGTAATATTAAGCTTTGGTTGAGATTTCTTTGGGTCATTACTTATCAGAGAAGTTTTCAAGACAGAGAATGTTCTCTCGCAAGTTGCCGTTGTAACCGGGATTGTAAGGTAAATGAGAAGAAGGATGTGCACCTCTGAGATGATCTCTTATAGATTGGACTGTTGTTGAAAATCTCACAGATTGTTTTAATGTATATTTGATAGGTTTACTCTCATCGTCGCACACGTCTTGGAGGCTTGTTAGCTGCCGAGTTAATGCTACAAAGTCAATATCTCCGGCATACACTTCCCTCAACTCATAAGCACGAAACAAAATATTGGGGAGGGGGCTCATGATAACCGAGCCCGGCCGAAATTTTTTTTTTTTTGGGGGGGGGGGGGGGGGTGGCTCAAGGATATCCGGGCCCCTCAAAAATATCAGGGGGGCTCCGTGATGTTATCCGAGCCCCATCAAAAACACTTGAGGGGGGGGGGGGGGCGGTGATATCTTGAGCCCCAACAACATATGGGGGGGGGGGGGGGTTAAATGATATCCGAGATCTACCAAATATATTTTTTGGGTCAATGATATGCGAGATCCGATGTCTGAGCCCCCCCTCTCTCCTCCCTAAATAAATATTTATAAAATGTTTATATTTGAATGGTACGTCTGTAGATTATAGGTATACATGAGTTTTCATGCCTAGAATATAATCATTGGGGAGGAGGGGGGTTCATGATATCCGAGCCCCGCAATAAGTCTCGGGGGCGGCTCAATGATATCTGAGCCCCACTTAAAATATTGGGGGCTCAATTGTATCTTAGCCCCTAAGGACTCAATGATATGTAAGCCCCACCATCAATTAATGATATCTATAAGCCAAAAATATTGGGGGGGGGGGGGGGCTCAATGATCTCTGATCCCCTCCAATATTTTTTTTTGGGGGGGGGGGGGCTGCGCCCCCAATCCCCTCCCCCCGGTTCCTAAGCCTAATTACAGTTCAATGAAGTCTATTTTTTTAAACTTAAAGGGATTGGGTAACTTTGTTTTAGGTTCTGAAACAAAAAAATCCTGGAATGATAGTTAGGGCTAGTTCTGATCGGATAACGACCCAAATATCGGAGTATGGCTAGCTGCCCCAGGGCCTTTTCCTATATACGGATCAGAGAAAAAATACTTTAAACATTTCGGGGTTACTTTGATGACTTTCGGGGGCTCTTTTTGGCATTTCGGGGGTAATTCACCCCGAGCCCCCGTGTATTTTCCTCCTGATACGGATAAGTGAGTGCCCTGATGGGTCTACTTCTAACTCGTGTTTTTTTAGCCCTCCTTTCTTTACTTTTTCCTTTCCTTTCTTATTTTTTCAAAGAGGGGGGGGGGGGGGCGGGTCCATCGCCCCGTATATCCGCGCCTGAGTGACACCCACACAACTAACCTTATTTATTACCGAAAAAAAAAACTGAAAGAAAGAGCCCCTCGACACCATAGGTGTAAGTATTTTTCTATTTTTTTTCTAATTTGATACCAGTGATATACAGATGTTGCTGAAATAACCTAATTTTCCGGGATTTTTCCTCGCTTTTTAGTAAATTATACTTTCTATGCGTTTGTTGGAGAATGACATATATCACAATTTACAGTCAGGCAGTGCTTAATTACTATTCAGAGGCCGACATGTCAGGTCCCGCAGAACGGCGGGCTTGGGGGCTCAAGCCCCCCCTCCCACCCCCACACTTTTGAAAAAGTATATTAAAGAGAATTAAATAGAAAGAAATAGAAAAGAAAGTATGCTCATGTAACCGTAATTAAATGCCCATACCCCTGAGCTATTTCCGGGGGCTCTGCCCCCTGGACCCCATCTTGGGCCCTAAGGCTGGCCCCTGGATGCTAATCTGACCTTAATTGTAATGCCTAAAACCCCTGCGCTTTCGGGGGCTCCGCCCCTTGGTCCATACGCCAATTAGTGACCTGCCGGTGTCATGAATATGGTATTAAAATATGCTCATCTGACCGTAAGTACGAAGCCACGTACAATCGATTACAACAGTAATTGTGGGGCCAATATCACGAGTATGCCTTCATAGAATAAATGTTTTAAAGAAAATATTCACTTCTACTTTCAAAAGGACTGGCCCATTTGCTTTAAAAAATTGTAGAGAGTTATATTATGTAATTTCTAGAAAAAATGCCAACCACATGATTTACAATGAGTCTAAATACATTGATTTGCCGAGTTTCTTCCTTTTATCAATACAGTAAAACAATGGGGGGAAAGACTGCGCGGATAGCAATCCGCACGGATCGTCCCTCGGACGATCCGTGCGAGTCACGGACGATCCGTGCGAGCAGAAAACCCGCATATTATGTCCGACGGACAAACGAAACTGGTAGGACAAACGGCGTGGTCACACCGGTCACATCGGTCACACCGGCCGCGCCTGGGTGCATGCACTGATCAGCTAGTGATTCGCATTTGAGTTTGGCGCAATGGGGAACTTTGAGTGGCCATGGCAGTATGAATTTCCACCATTTTTCTCGTAAGATTGATTCTTGTATTATGTCTTTCTCAAATTCGTAGTGAATTCTAATCATGCTTCTATGGTTCAGATTGTGCGAAGAACGAATAGTGAGATAGGTGAAGGATTCGTGTATTTGGGCGGTGAAACTGTTAACGGTCCCATGTGTTTAGCTTTGTGTTGTCTAGACTCTAGGCCTATATTTGGTTGTATTCAAGCTAGCCTGAATCACACATAGCTGCTTTACTCTCTGGCTGTGTATTAAAAGCTGATTTCACTTAAAATCGGTACGTTAGTGACGATTGATGACACCTAAATAGCAGTAAAATATAATTTTGTTCAACTTTCTAAATCAAATTGTGAGTCCACTGTCAAACTTGCTGATCAGCCGCAGGCCGTATCGGCATGATACATCTGAATTTTATGAGTGTATTGACTATTCATGTATTCAAATGCTGCCTTTTAACACGTAGTGCGTGCATTAGTGCACAAAGAACTTTGCGCATTGGGCGCTGTAGGGCCGATCCGGTTGAGTGGCTACTAATTTAGGTGAGAGAGGGCCTTCTTAACTTAAGCGCAACTTAAGTTCAATGGCAATGTCACTAATTACGTCACACCACACAGAGATTTTGACATGTCATGCTTTAAACGGGTGACGCACTTCACACATGACTGACGCACACATGAAATTGCACACACATGAAATGGAAAAATCAACGAACATTTCATAATAAATTTCCAGTTTAAACCGAAAACGAAAATGAGAATTGTTAAAACTTGAAAAATAGTTACGTAAGACTTAAACTTAAGTGAAATACTTAACCTTTTAAGGATGCTGAAAAAAACTGTAACAAATAGAGGGTTTGACTGGAATATCACAATTTTGGTATCGAATAAACTAATAAAGCGAAAAATCGCACAATCATCTTATAACATTGAGTGAATGGAAGCCAGCGCACATAGAACTTTAGCTTACATTCAGCGCATGCGCAGAACGTTCATCCGATCTCAGCGAATTGCAACCTCATTTTACTAAATTGGCGCCGACAAGGGCCCTTCTTATTGGCTTATTGGGTATTTTAAGTCTTGTTAATTTGAATATTTCAAACACCTGCCCGTCATGCCTGTTCTATGGTAATTTATTACCTATTTTTTTTCTTCTTCAGATTGCAACCAAATTTGGAAACGAGGAAAAAGCAGCTACTAGCTTGGTGTGATCTCTTTTTAGCATTTCACAAACACCATAGAATATACACAGTAGATCTGAAGGAAGCAGCAAGCAGTGAATTATTTAACAATACAAAGCTCAACAGTATCCTTTCAAAAAATTTAAAATGATTGTAGAACAAAATATTGAATCTTTTCAATGATCTTTAGAATAAGTATATGTTTCTAGATTAAAAAAAACACTTATGTGCAGTTTGTATTTCTACTTTTTTTTCTTCCTTTATTTCCCTGTGCTTTAATATTATCATTATTATCATTATTGATATTATTATGATGATTATTATTATTATTATTATTGTCATCATCGTTCTTGTTATTATTTGAACAGATTGGTAGAACAGGCTCCATGCTTGACCAGGTAGCTGATGAAAAATGTATCTTTGTATCATGTTTATTTTGAGCCATTTTTGAGCTGGCTAAGCTGTTTTGTTGTTGTTGTTTTGTTTGTTTGTTTCATTCCTTAACCTTTTGACTTCAGGGAAGTTGTCAGGAGAAGGAATATTGTTAGTCTTGGAAGAATTAAGGCAGAAGGGTAAGTACTGATGAGATAGAACGTTCTTAAGGCACATTCAGAATTTCAAACATGACAGATAAGCATCATGTGGTGCAGTATATATATATATATATATTATTGATTCGTAATATATATATATATATATATATTTATTTATTTATAATGAGATTTGTAACTGTCCTGCACTTGATTTGTCTGTATCATTAGTTGGTATGTGTAAGGGCAATTATTGTTATTAAAAGAGCCTAGGTTTTTAATAATAATAATGATATTAAATTGTTTCTTTTATAGCACTTTATGAAATTATCAACTGATCAAAGTGCTTTACAAAACAAATACATCAATGAATTAAAACTAAACAAAAATATGATAAAAAATTTAATGCAATTAATTACAATGTAAAAAGGTGTGTTTTGAGATGTTTATTAAATACTTCAATTGACACACTACAGCGTAATTCACAAGGTAACCTATATCATTTAATATTTATTTTTGCCATGATTTGATGCATTATTTCAAAATCTTTAGGAAGTTCATTGCATCATATCTGAAAGCATCTTTATTGATTCGTAATGCGTAAAATATGACAATAACTTGACAAGAGATGGATCGTCTTGGCTACCTGGTAGGAACAATTTCCAAGAATGCTGAGAGCATGCAAATTGATAGTCAGGGTAGTGTTTGAGCACCTTGGGAGTATTTTATGTGGTGAAAGGCAGTTTACAATCAAAGCCAATATTTTTTAAAATTTCATATGACTATTTCTACCTGCAGGAAACATTGAATGGACAGATAAAGCCAAGACCAGATGTCTGGTAATGTGGAGGACACCTGAAGAATGGGGAAACCTCATTTATAAATGGGTTAGTATTCTATCTTTGATCATGAACAAAAAGACAGTGTTTTGTGGTATCAAACTTAACAATGCCTGATCCCATTTTGAATTTCAAGGAGAAAACTTAGCTAATATGAGAAGGAAATGTTGATACACATTGTTAGATTATTGACAGTTGAATCTGCCTACAGCACTGTAACATACATGCCAACCGTTCCGATTTTAACGGAACTGTTCCGTTTTTGAAGTTTTTATAGCCCTAAAAACAGAACGTTCCGATTTTGGGGAATTTGGCTTTCCATGCATAGCATTGATCCGATCGAGTGCTGAACGGATTGCATTGCGCAAGGTGCATGCAGCGTGCACTGATATGTACGTACAGTGCAGTGGCAGCGTGTTGCTGCGCGCCACGTGCACTCTGATATGTGTTTCCGTACGTAACATGTCCGTACGTAAATACTTGCGCTGGCAAATCTCATAAGTATAATTTCTATACGTTTGCATGCGCATATCAGCATGCATGCATTCGCTATCGCGGCTAGCGCACCGTATATGCATAGGGTCCCCATGCAAAGTACGTGTTTCGAGGTACCGTATACTTTGTGATTTGTGATTTGTCTCGGAAGAAAATCTGTCAAAATGAGCGGAACAGCAGCAAGACGAATTCAGAAGTACAAACAGGAATACAAGGAACGATTTCCTTTATTAGAGCAAGCACAAAAGGGGAGGAATATGCATACTGCTTTTTTTTGTCGGCAAGATGTCTTGTTCTGCTGACATTGATTTTGACAACCTCATTTACATGTAGCTCAATGAGTTACAATAATTTTGGATTGTTGACTGTTGTCTGGAAAGTTGAATACCATTATTGCCAGTCTCATTTTATGCATAGATCTATGTCATGTATAATTATTTAAAAAGTAACTAGACTTAAATGCATCACTCTGCATGAGTGGCTAATTAAATCTATGTCTATTATCTGCTCTGCCTCTGCCAAGGATAAATTAAAATGTGGAATTCACTTCAATCACTTTTTTGTTTGGTATGACACAAAAATTACCCATAAACTTGGGTTGAATTTTAGGGGAAATGGTCCCTAAAATAGGCTCAGATTGAACCAGAGAGCATCTGGAAACCCAGAGCTTCCAGGGCCCTAAAGCGGGCCCTGGACCCCGGCTAAAAGGACTTCGCGCTCGTGATGTGCGTTTTGCGCACATAGTGTACAGATTTCTGATTTTCAAATGTTGGCATGTATGCTGTAAGGGCTAGAACTACTTTAAGTTGTTTTAAATTGTTTCTGTAAAACCATTTGATAAATATTCAGATCATGTAATTGAATCTTAGACATTTTTGTCTTATTTCAATTTTGTTCAGGCCGGCAATAGTGGAATGACCAACACTGTATGTACACTGTACGAGATTGCACAGGGAGAAGACACCACAAATGAAGGTATGTATGACTTTGAATGAATAAACAAGAGTTAAAAAAAATGGGGGAAAAAATGAAATGAAATGAAATGAAATATGCTGACCTACACTGAAGCATATAACATCTTGTCTTCAAGCATATCTCCCCTCCCCCTCCCCATCCAACACCCCATCCCACTCCCCTCCCAGATTGTTAGAACATTTCACTCGCTTTAATTTTTGAAATTTGAAATTTACCAACCAGACTTTGGTTTGATTAAGTTATTAGTTTTATATGTATATTTACTATTTATAGTGCATGAATAAAATATAATTTACCTTTGATTTTATCTTCCAGAGTTCCATGGACTAGAAGACTGGCTGCTGAAGAGATCATTGAAATGTCTAGAAAGAGGAAGGAAGGCAGAACTAATGGCCTTTGATGGGAATGAAGGAGTTAAATTCTTCTGAACATTGATTTCTTATAAAGCTATGTGAAGTCACTCATGAATAGCTAGAAGGGCATTAATGCCATTTAACTGTTTATGAGTTAATGCCCTTCTAGTTCTCAGCTGGAAAAAAAATCTCAGTGGGCATTTATGGACTGGAAGTGATGATTTGCTTTAAGCCTATCTACACTGGTTTGACCAGAAGGGATTAGACCTCTCTGCGTGGTCACTGGCAGGTGGTTATCTCATCAACTCAGCTCTCAACTAACATAAGAAAAGGGGACCATGGAGGATCAATGGGTTGTCTGTATAGAGGAAGCAAGTAGCTACAAGTAGTGTAGTCCTGCTTTAAAGACCTTATCCTATGAAAATGCAACTTTATATCCATAGAAAGCTGAATGAACCTAGAATACAAATATAAAGGAGTAACAAATATTTTCTCTTTCAGTGTTGCACTAAAGCAAATAAAAGCCTTCAAATTACAGGTTAATATGGGTTTGACGCAGTTACGGTGACGACATAACACGTCCACCCGATCGGCTCGCCTATATAGCTGAGGCCATGAGCCATGCTTAATTAATGCAAAGTCATTGTGAATATGCATACTCCACGATGTCATCAGGTCAATGTTTTTTTTTTATGGTGAACAACTTCTGATTTTCCAAAGCTTCAGATTTTTTTTAAAGGGCTGTCATTGCTCTGACAAACCATAAAATAGCATATAACTGATCTTATTGTTATCTTTGGCTTATAAGCTTTCCATTGATATGTAATTCATCTATTGATACTTTCCCTTGCACTCCAGCTCAAGATATAATATGCTTTAATAGTATTTAATGCATTAAGCAAGGATGTTTTTGTTGTACAGTGTATATCTTTTTTGAAGGGGGGAGGGGGGGGGGGGGGTAGTATTTTAATTTTGGTCACCAAGCAATTTGTCTTTTACAAATCTCGTCAAATCAAATTAGTCTACACCCAGTTCATCTATCATTCGTTTGGTGTAATTTCTCATGTTGTGTCGTGTAACTTCAGTTCATCTCATGCCCATTGTGTGTGATACTTATTTTTCTATCATCTATGTGGGGCCTTGACGGGAAATGAATTATGTTGCTAGGAGACGATCCAAGACAGTCATTTGGGCTTCCTTGTCTTACCTGAATAATATACAAACCATATAAAAGCGTTAGTAAAGAAATAATAGCCTTTTTGGTGATCTGACTAAATCATACTTAGACCACTTGGTAATTTGATAAAGTAGTAAAACCACATTGACAAATTGGGTGTAGCCGAATATATTTAGTAGGAATAGGCAGTGCACAATTTTTCAGATAATTTATATTCAGAATAAAAAACAAGAGATAGAAGAAGAAAAAACAGGAAAATTCATTTCACTTGTTGCATTGCATTACAATTTTTTATTTTTCTCTTTCTCGAAAGAAAAAGGGTTTATCAAGGGAACAACACAAGTTGAATCACAAACCTGTGATTTGACCTTGCTTATATTTTATACATTTTAAAAAAGAAAGAAAAGAACGATGGAATGTATAGCAGTAAAATCATGTGTTAGCAACTTGAAAATGAAACCTGAATTCTGAATAGAAATATCCTTGCCTATGATAACCAGTGTGGATTAATAGTATGCAGATTCATATCTTATATTAAACAAGGAGACAATTTATTATGAAAGTTGCGCATTAGTTTTGTCGCTCAAAGGAACTTCCACTATCTTACAATTTGCAATATTGAATGAAAATTGGAATAATGATTGATGATAATAAATAATGATGATTTTTATATGGCACATTTCAGGTACACTGTACAAGTAAGTGTTCAAAACATTAATTTTATTTACCCAGCATTGAACTTAGTTAAAAATATTCTCCTTGATGTATAATGAAAATTTTCCACTCCATGAGAGTATGCACATTAATTTAATTGGTCTAAAGAACTTCTTTGCCACTGTGGTGTATGTTCTGAAGAGTTTGTCATGTATTTTCATGGACAAGGCAAAGCTCTGTGCGGTAGTGAGGTAATACTTAAAGTATGGCTCATGCTTGCCAAGCATAGCAATAAGCACTATTCTGTCACCTAAGGTGGAAAAAGTTTGCCAAACATGCTATACTAATGGCTCAAGTTTGGATATTGAATTAGCGCCATCTCTTGTCTGTATTTGACAAATTTAGTAATGGAGAAAGAAAGATAACAAGTTTTTATCCAGTATTTCCACGGTATTAGTGACTCTTGTAAGTTTAAGAGTGATCAATAGATGGAAAAAGCGATTTACAGTTTCCTTTTTCTTTGTTATCTGTTCTATTTTCCCCCAAAAAACATAGTGACTGGAGCAGGTAAAAATGGTTCTGAAAATACTTGTATTTTGGAGGGGAAAAGACTTTATTTTTCTTCATATGTTGAATGCGTTTTATTATTTTATGTAATATATATGAATAAATGTACATATTCTTTTAGTATGACTAAACAGCAACTGATTGGTATGTCAATTGTACTAATTCTGTGTCAAGACATTATATTTTTCTTATTTTTTCAGTGGCCTCTTCCATGAAAACATTCTTATTGAAAAGGAGCTCCTTGAAACAACCAGTCTGACTTTATATACCTTGGAAATATACCTTGGAAGTAGGCATTTAAAGTTAAAAACTTATTTGCCTCTCGTTGACATTCGGATGAAGAATCCATATTTTGGCACATGTTTAGTGGCGCTATACAGCAATTGACGAACATGGACAAGCGAAGGACTCCTCTGGGTCAAATTAATCTTTTCTTGACGACCAAAATTTCAACAAATTCGATTTAAAGCTGTTTAGTGACTTGCTCTCCACAACTACAGAGGAGAGGTTGTTCCATTCATTGATACACCTCTGTGAAAATGATCCATGTCTAAGCTTCGAGTAGACTTTCTTCTTAACGATCTTGTATCGATGGTCACGGGTTCTATTATCAGTTGGATGGTCAAAGAAGTGTGCTAGATCCAGTTCATCTAGGCCATGCATTATTTTGTATATCTGTATCATGTCTGCTCTATGGCGTCTGTAGGCAAGAGATGGTAAGTTGAGATATTTTAGTCTCTTCTCGTAACTCAAGTGTCGTAGCATGTGTATTTGGCGAGTTGCTCTACGCTGTACCTTTTCTATTTTCGTGCTGTCTTTTTTCAATACAGGATGCCACACCGTTGAGCAGTACTCGAGTCTTGGTCTTATAATTGATTTGTATAGATGTATAAAGCCCGTTTTGTCCAAATTAGAAAATGTCCGCTTGATAATCCCTAGCTTGCGATTTGCAGCAGCACATACTCCATCCACATGACGTGAAAACTTCAATTGCTGGTCAAAGGTTACCCCAAGGTCTGTTTCTACTTCAACGGCAGGAATAGGTGTATCTTCGTCTGATATGAAATAATCATAACAAGGATTTCTTCGACCATAGTGGATTACCTTGCACTTCTCTTAAATGGTAGTTGCCACTGATGGGACCATTTTGTGAGCTTTGTTAGATCTGCTTGTAGATTTTTGCTATCCAATGAAGGGTGAATTGGTGAGAAGATTTTGGTGTCATCTGCAAATAGTTTGACTTCAGATGCAGTGTTACATATAATATCTGGAATGTCATTAACATACAACAAGAACAGTGTCGGCCCCAGCACGCTTCCTTGAGCTACGCCGCTGACAACTTTTGATGCACTCGATGGGGTACCGTTTATGACTACCCGCTGAGTTCTTCCAGTCAGGAAAGACTTGATCCATCTATGCAGATTACCTGTTATACCGTAGGCCTCTACTTTTTTCAGAAGTCTAGCATGTGGGACACTGTCAAAGGCCTTGCTGTAATCCAAGTAGATACAGTCAATACTTCCCTTGTTGTCTAATTCCTTTGTCCAGGTTTCAGAAAATTTAGCAACTGTGTAGCACAAGATCTACTTCTTCTAAATCCGTACTGCTCCTCCGTGAACAGAGAGTTCTCATTCATATATTTGACAATTTCATCACGTACAATGGTCTCCATTAATTTGGAAAGAGAACTGGTTAGACTGACTGGACGATAATTTCCTGGTTTCTTTTTATCTCCTTTCTCACAAATAGGAGTCACATTGGCTTCTTTCCATGAGTCACATACCACGCCACTCGATATCGATTTGTTAAAAAGATGGGCAAGTGGCCGGGAAATGTCGTCCACTAATTCCTTCAGGATGCGATTGTGAATGTTTTCTGGTCCAACTTTTTAAACTTTTAAAGATTCACCTATTTGAAAACACGTACTCCTTTTGGTTTTTAGCACCATGCTTTATAATGACTTTTTATGCTTGATGTCCTGGCTTTATTTTTTGAAGATGTGGTAGGAGAGAGAGAGAGAGAGAGAGAGAGAAGAGAATGGGGAGAGGTGGAGAGAGAGAGAGAGAGAGACAGACGGACATAGCAAGGAGAGAGAAGGGGGGGGGGGGGGGTAGGATGAGAGAATGAGTGAGAGACAGGTACTGGTATTTTTAATATGAGAGTAAGTATCTATCAAGCATAAAGAGATCGGTAAAGATAAGCAATATTATAGAATAGATAGAAATTAAGGTAACTCAAGAAAGCAGAAAATCATTTTGCCATGAGTTTATGCATCATCTGAAATGTAGGCCTATATACATGCATAAAAAGGAATGTTACAGGGGGAAAATTGTTTTTAAAGAAAAAAGAGGAAGAAGGAAACTGCCTTTCCTACAGCTAGCTTTCGATAACATGATTTGAGATTTTAACAACAAAAAACACATAAGAAATAGATAAGAGTAATTGAGCAGGGCTAACTAAAATTTGGACTTCATTTGATGGTGAAGCTTCGAAAGTGTATATGTTATGCCCTTTACCCTGAAAATGAAAAACGCCAGGGCGGATAGTTAAATTATGGATTGAAGATTTTCAAAATGTTGAATCCTGGAAAATGTAATTTATACACTATGAACTTTACTAAGGGTGCAGCATTTAAGAAGTCCTGAAAAACATAAGGAATTAAGGCAGCAAAGGGATTCAGCTTTAGATAATTTTTATTTTATTAAACCTTTTAAAGGATCATTTCTGTTGCATGTTATACCCTCCCTTGTGGGTGCTATATCTTTGAGAAGGTAGAACCATAATTTTCCTTCCTATTCTCCCTTTTCTCTTTCTCTCTTTTGCCTTTTTGCTCCCCTTCAAGTGTCACCCAGGGCATGTGCCCCCTCGATCTACTCCCCTTGGATATGCCACTGCTCAATTTTTCCTAAATTTGGTTACAATCATTTTTCTTTGGGGTGGTATTGAACCTCCAGAACTCCTACTTCATAAAGCTCTGTTACATATACTACCACTGTGGCTCCATTTTATTTGAAATAACGATTGGGTGGCGGCACAGTAGGCCTATAAACACAAGGAAAACAAAACCACCCTCCGCCCCCCTCTAAAGAAATTAAAAAAAAACTCTCAGCGCAGTACCGTACTCTATATTTTTTTTCGCAGGAGAGATACCATAATCCGTATTATTTGTTGTTATTACTGTTCTGAGCTGAGAGAAGCTACCAGTACCACACCCGTGAAAGAGAAAGGCAATTTGGGGGACTTTAATTTGAAGCTTAAGAGGTTGGGGTAGTTCTTCTTTCCCTTTTGAATGTCTGAAGTGATGGTTTTGTGTATTACCCGAGAAGAGGGATTCAATGCTGGAAACATTACATGGAATTGACAGACGGATCATCATCGGCACTGTATGTGCACTGTGAAGATTGGCACAGGCTCTCCTCTGCAGTGACTTTGCCCTGAACTTTGGCGTGAGAGATTTGGAGAACACCCGACCCTTCGCATTATCATCGAGTGCAGCTGCATGCAGCTACCGTACATCATATGTACATGTTGCTTAGCTACATGTACATTATGTTACTGTGACTGATCAGCTGATACTGAATGAGTTTACTAGGTCGAGAAGCTAGAAGCTAGTAGAACCCTTCAAATTGCTCTTCGTTCCTTCTCTTCAGCTCGCTGAATCACCAATTAAGCAACATGGATAGAGCGTACGTAGAATCTTTTTTTGTTGTTTCTCTTTTAAATTTTGTTTTAGACCTAGTCTAGATCTACCTTAGATTCTAAATATTTTTGGATCAAAATTATATTTTTTTAAACTTTTGTTTATCATTTGACATTTCAAAAAGAAAAAAGAATCTGAATTCTGGTTATCTCAATTGACATTAATGATTTGTGATACCTTTAAAAAAAAAATTTTCTTTCTTTCAAATGATGAAGAATAGCTTTTGTGGTGTGTTCAATTTATTGATGGAAAATAAGAAACATTTTTTCCCTTTGATTTATTTAGGTCTATCTTGCATGTAGACAGAAATAACCGCCTGGTATGGGGAATTCTTTAATAAAACTGACATTTGTCAACCTTCCCCATGCACAGACGGTACCCCTAACAGTTTGCAAATTGTGGCAATTTTAGCCATAATCTGTCGAAAAACTTTCTCCCGTTTTTCTTTATCTAGACAATAACAGTTTGATTTTTAAAAATATGATTGGAAAGAAAATAGATGTAATTTTAATATAACATCGAAAATCTTAGTATAACATAAAAATATAACAACGAATACATGTAGGTCTACGGTAGCCATTTTTACTACAGACACTTTGATAACAATTTGATTTCCAGGTTTTTCCTTCAGATAATTCAGATGAATCTACAAACAATTTGATAAAAAGAAGCTTACAGGCAATTTTATGTTCTTTTTTTCAGTCTGCTTTTGTCGAACTGTTGAAATTAAAAATAATAATTAAGAATAGATCTAGATGTAATTTTATTTTAAAATTCCAATTGTTTACACTATAGCCTAGGAATTTAGGCATTTTAGGGATTGCAAATTGACATCAGTAAAACTCCATGGAAACAGTGAGCTACATTGTACAATGTACAAGTACAATGCATCTCTCAAAAGACAAAAAGCTGTGAAAATACACTAAATACAAAATGAGAGGAGAAGTATGAAAAAGTTACCTGCCGTCCCAAAAGATGTTGAAATTTCCTTCTAAATTACATGGCTTAGAGATTAAGAAATTAAAGGGCTATAATGATCTATAAAAATATGACTTTGGCATTCATTCTATGATTGGCTTTCCTTCAAATTTCTTTATTATATCTACATGTATGCATGTGCTTGATGCTATTACATGTGTGCATGTACATGTGCAGTACATACTGTAAGCTTCATAAATTCTATTACATGTACCGGTCAGGCGCGTACGCAGGGGGGGGGGTTTGGGGGGTTAAACCCCCCCTTTGGAAATTTTTTGTGTGTAAACCCCCCTAAAAAAAAACCTAAAAACCCCCCCCCCCCCCCCCCCCCCCCCCCCCCCCCCCCCCTTTTGGATTTTTTTTTTTTTTTTTTTTTTTTTTTTTTTTTTTAATTATTAAAAAAAAAAAAAAAAAAAAAAAAAAATTATTCCCATGGCCGACCTAAAAAAGGTGACCTTACCCCCCCCCAACGGAGCAAAATGTCAAATTTCCAAATTTCGAGACCAAAAAAAAAAAAAATGTGTCCTCTTACCCCCCCCCCCCCGCTTATTCAGCGGCTGGCTGAGTCGTTGCGAAATTTTCGGACCGATTTATAAATGTTAAAACCCCCCCCTTGAAAAAATCCTGCGTACGCGCCTGGTACCGGTACATGTACTTTGTAGTTACTAGAATACTCTGTTCTGGGTTTTTCAAACATACTGTACAAGTACATGTACATGTATATCCAAAAGTACAATTTTTTCCCTCTGGAACAACTATTTGTAGGAGTACCAGATCGAAAATATTGTTTGTGAAGTACTTTACAAGTATATTGAGCATACATGTAGGGTTACACTGAGGTCAAGTCAAGCAGAGTTCCTGTTCATTTGTAGACATATACTATAATATAGTATTACTATAAGTGCAGTATTGCTTAGTGACTATTGCTTGAAATAAAGTAGACACTCTCACACTGTGTCATGGGTGACTGCATATTATGCCATAGACTTGGTGTGACTTGGTGTTAATGTGTCTACTTTATTTTAAGCAATACTGTACATGTACACTGTAGCTAGAGACTTCTGCAATTTTCTATTGTCTACTAGGATTTAGAAGGTAGTTACATGTAGTTCTGTGTTAATACTCAAAATTTATGAGCTACATGTATCACCCTCTAAGTCTAAGCTTGAAACAAATTATGTACATATATGTACAAGTACATACATGTATGTACTTGCTCTTGTAATGTATGATTTGTTAAATATTTTCAAAGTTTAATATGTTCATTGTACAACTTTACATGTACATACACCTGTACATGTACATGTATGTATCATGTATCCATGGGATGAAATCGTAAAAGTAAAGCATAAATTCAGGATGAAAAAGAATTTTGTGAGTTTTCAAACTTGTATCTCCCACTTTCAGTTCTGCAAAATATTGGAATAGACCACATCTAATTCAAATGTGAAATTAAGTACAACTGTGCAGTATGTCCAAATATTTAACAGTTGTAAATTTGAGGGAAAAATGTTTTGTACATATACATGTACAATATGTTCTTATTAGAGCTTTCTTTGTGCACATTGTATGCAGTGTAGGTTCATTTAGGATAAATTTTTATTTAGGCTGTTGTGAATGAATTGTAATTTGATCACCCAGCCACTCATTTATATACATCATGGGTTACACAGAGATGCCAACTGTTCCGTTTTTGCCGTATTTGTTCCGTTTTTTCGCTATGAATACGGCAGTACGTTTTTTGTATGTTTTGTTACGTTTTTTTAATTTTTTTTTTTTTTTTTTAGTGATGTTTTTTTTTTTTTAGTGATGTTTTTCTTAATTTCTGATCATGGGCTTTGTGTCATAAGTGTATTATGCACCTACATCTTAAAACGATGCGCGCAGGATGGTGATACGGGCCCCAAACTGCGCACATTGCGAACAACCCACGTGTAATGTATGCACGTCGCGCTCCGATCCAGGTATGTATACGTGGTACTGCCTGGTTTTTTAAGCTCCTCGATTGGGCGATATGTTAAGTTGAGAGATTTTTTCAAAAATACTGTTTTTTGCTCTTAAGAATACTTTTTTTTGTTGAAGAAGGTTGGCATCTCTGGTTACATGCAATATTCAATCATCAAGTAGCAAAGTCCATAAAAAGTTGCCATACTGTTACAGGAGATTTTAGAAAAATATACTTGAGGGGTCAGAGGTTAATCTAACCTTTGTGAGGCTTGGCCATGAAGGTGGGCTGTTCTACAACGGTGAAGACATAATATGTGTTTACATGTATTATTGGCATTTATTGAACTAAATCAGAACTTAGAAGCCACTATTTTTGTAAGCTTGTGAGCATTTGAGTTTGCAGTCATACTTACATAAACTTACAAAAAGTAAATGGCCATTCAGAAAGCAATATTTGGTACATGTACTGTACATGTAGGCTTGCAATCTTGCAAGGCAGCAAGTAGCAAGTTAAATTCTAAAGTAACTAGTTAAGTGAATATAAATTATAGTTGCAGTTTTAGCTCTTTGATTAGTTTGAATAGATACTGAGGGGAAGGAGGGGGAAAATAGAAGAAGAAGAAGGAGAAAGAGGAGAAGGGGGAGAAGAAGAAGGAAAAGGAGAAGAAAGAAGAAGGAAAGGGAGAAGAAAGAAGAAGAAGAAGAAGAAGAAGAAGAAGAAGAAGAAGAAGAAGAAGAAGGAGGAGAAGGGGGAGAAAAAGAAGGAAAAGGAGAAGAAAGAGGAGGAGGAAGGAGGAGGAGAAGAAGGAGAAGCAGGGGAGGAGGAGAAGAAGAAGAAGGAGGAAAAAGAGAAGAAAGAGGAGGAAGATGAGAAGTAGGAGGAGGAAGAGGAGAAGTAGTATGAAATAGAAGAAAACAGAGGAGAAGGAGAAGGAGGAGAAGGAGGAGGAGGAGGAGAAGTAGGGGAGGAAGAAGAGGAGGGGTAGTAGGAAATAGAAGAAGAAGAAGCAAGAAGAAGAAGAATGAGGAGGAGGAGGAAGAAAGATGCAATCATGTGGTGAATTATCATTCATGCTGTACAGTGTAAAAATGAGGCTGTAGTTACATGTACATTACATACATTTACATACTGTAATCGTAGAGCTATCTTTAATTCAAGATGAGTCATGGAGAGACGTGGATAGTGAATTTTTTTTCCAATAGTGCCGCTCATAATTGAACATCAGTGTACAGGTTTATCAAAGACTTCCTGATGTTAAGCTAAAAGGATGCTAGCACACAAATCCCAATTCTCATTTTAAACAGTGTCAGATGGCCGGAAATGTCATGACATTAAGAACGTGTAGAGGTTTGCCCTTTTTATGCCTCCGTTACGAAGTAGCCGGAGGCATTATGTTTTCGGGTTGTCCGTCCGTCCGTCCGTCCGTCCGTCCGTCCGTACGTCTGTACGTACGTCTGTACGTACGTCCCGTTCTCGTGATCACGTTATCTGAAGAACGGATCAATGGATTCCTACCAAACTTTGGTCATATATGTATCTAGCAAAGTCGATGAACTGATTAGATTTTGGGGTCACGAGGTCAAAGGTCAAAGGTCACAGGGCTCATTATGTATGCAAAAACAGCTCGTGATCGCGTTATCTGAAGAACCGATGGATGGATTCCTGCCAAACTTTGGTCATGTATGTATCTTGTAGAGTCGATGAACTGATTAGATTTTGGGGTCACGAGGTCAAAGGTCAAAGGTCACAGGGCTCATTATGTATGCAAAACGGCTCGTGATCGCGTTATCTGAAGAACCGATAGATGGATTCCTGCCAAACTTTGGTCATGTATGTATCTTGCAGAGCCAATGAACTGATTAGATTTTGGGGTCACGAGGTCAAAGGTCAAAGGTCACAGGGCTCATTATGTATGCAAAAACAGCTTGTGATCGCGTTATCTCAAGAACCGATTGATGGATTCCTGCCAAACTTAGGTCATGTATGTTACTTGCAGAGCCGATGAACTTATTAGATTTTGGGTAACGAGGTCAAAGGTCAAAGGTCACAGCGCCCATTATGTATGCAAAAACAGCTTGTGATCGCGTTATCATTAGAACAGATTGATGGATTCCTGCCAAACTTAGATCATTTATGTATCTTGCAGAGCCAATGAACTGTGTAGATTCTTGGTTCATAAGGTCCAAGGTCATGGGCTCATTATGTATGCAAAAATAGCTTGTGAACGCATTCTCATTAGAACTGACAGATGGATTACTATTTAACTCTGGATATCTTGCAGAGCCAATGAGCTGAGTAGATATTAGGATCATGAGGTCAAAGTTCAAAGGGTCATATATGTATATGAGAAATTGTTTGTAATCACGATATTCTGAGAACCTGTTAATGGATTACAATTGAACTTGAATTTGAAAAATTTCTTCTGTTTTGGTTTGTAAAATTGCTCTATGACGGAGGCATCATTTTCGACTGCGCGCAGTCGAATTCCATCTAGTTGTATTGGTTACGGTTTCATATATTGTGCTAATTTTGTAACAAGTTATGGTTATGAGGTTTGCCCTTTTTGTATTGGTTACGGTTTCATATATTGTGCTAATTTTGTAACAAGTTATGGTTTTTGCACTACTCTGTTCAGCAATTTAAACATGCGTTATAAACGTGCCTTTTTAAGGGCATGAAGCTCTAGAGTTTTTGAAATTCCTGAACAATTTGTTTAGTGTCACACTGTGTGTTTGTTCACCTGTCGATTTGATGAACAAAGAATATTTTTTGTCCATTTTTATTTGCAAGTTAAAAATTGATTAGAAAGATTCATTGTATAATGGACATATTCATTTATGACTGAAATACCTGTCTGTCTTGATTTACCAAAAAATCCAGAGATCTAGAGATACCAGTTCCTGAATTCTGCTTTGATTGATTATGTTATCAGCATTTAAACCCAGCATAAATATACACAGTATCATATTAGATGTGTACAAGTCTGCAATGTTTGATGTATATATTAGATAATGGTATCAATTACAATCATCCATTACATTTACAACGTTGTTCAGAAATGGTCCATGAACCACATTTTGCTAATGGGACACTTCACAAGTAATGGAGGAAATACATCAGCTTACTTGCTATCTACTCCAGATATAGACTTTTAAAGATAAAGACCAGTTATGGTCATGTGATTGCATTGTGAAAGAAAAATTGTGGAATCGATCAGAAATGGTTGATCATCTACAGTAGCATATTTATTGGTGTGTACTGCAAGGTTCTGGAATCATCAAAATGATCAGAAATTTGGCCCAGTCTTCGTAAAGTTACAAGCACTGTACTCAGAAAGATGTATATGAGACTACGACACGTGCGTTTACCTCTCATATCCCAATAGATAAACTAATTTACCAAATATAATCAAATAGTAGGCGGTTTCCCGGCAAATTTTTTATCATCATGTATTACTCAAAACATATTCTTTCACGTGATTGGTAATAAGAGCTTCAATTTCAATTTTTGAAATTGGGGCATTTTCAATACTGGTCTTTACCTTTTAAACAGTTCATATTATTTTAGCCAACACAATGTTTTCTGACATACACCTGTACAAGTATTTACAATAATTGTAAATATAGGTTATATACAATAATAATGAAGGATTTACAGGTCTACACAAAAACATGCACTCCATGAAAGTGTACAGTACTGTTCAATCCTTCCATTGATGATGCACTACATGTTGAAGAGCTGGTACATGCTCCATATGGGAAATGGGTGTGTGCAATTTCACAGGTTGCACTGAGCAATGCTGCACAGCAAAGTGTGCAGAGTCTGCACACACTCAACAAGGCTCATTTCGCACTAAATGTACACCTAGGCCTACATAGGTATAAATGTACATGTCGTAGCATCACTTTATTTATGAATTTGATGTCCATTTTTTATTAGTTAATCTTGATTTCACGAAAGCTTTGAATGGTGAAATGATTTATCATATAATTAGGAAAAGAAAAGATTCCCTATAAATCACTGGGAGGAGCTAGTGATATACTGTATCTACATGTAGAATATACATGTACATTTAGCAAGCAAATTGATTACATTAACATATCAATAAAGTGTTTTGTAATACTAGAAAGACTTTGGGTGAGAATTTTTGTTACTAAAATCTGCAAATGGTAGTAAAATCTAACATTGAATTTTGAAATAATGTTGGGTCTTGGTTTTACAAGCTTACTGGTATTATATTAATGTACCCTAAACTACCCTTTTTGATTAAAGCAAGAGTATGACATGATTGGGGTCTGGTTTGAATTTGGAGGTGTATTTTTGGAATTCATGAGTTCATGAAATATAATCTCCCTCAAACAAAAAAACCCAACATATGTGATTTGATGACGGTGTCTTCTTCCACGAGTCTTAGATGACGTGCTCTATGTACAGGAGCATGACTCACCCTCCATCTAGATGCACTGTGTAGATGGGGGTATGAAGTCACTCGTACGATGTCGTCACCATGATCGTCTTGACACATTAGTTCTACATGGCTGGCCTGTAATGCGTAATTCCTAATACTTACTCAGTAATGGTGTTGCAATTGGTCATTCCTTTTCCCATTTCGTCACATTACATAATTTACAACTCAATACTGTACAGTGCGCAATATGCAATGTAACTAAATATAATTTGCCAAAAATGAATACTGAATGTAATATTAAAACACACAAAAGATGCATGTAGAATTTAATTTTTTTTGTTTCAAGATTTTTCTCAAGTTTAGAGATTAAAACAAAATTAAGACAATGATTACATATCTAAAAAAAAACTGTAAGTACTTGATTTTTCAAATTGTGTTAAATAGGATTTACATGTACAGTACAGTATATACTCCTGATGTATTTGTTCTTATTTCAGAATTCAGATGAGTAATGAAAATGAAATGGCATTCTTTTCTTAGTACATCTAGACAGTTGGGAATTGTATTTCAATACTAATCGATATCATTCACACAAACAGTGGTGTGGGATGAGGCATGCAAAAATGAAATCAATATAAATCTATATTTATATTACTGTTGGAATAATGAGGAGTGAACTACATACTGTTCAGAGCAATATTGCTATGTACATGATCACATGCACATGTATTTGTAGTTATGAGACAAACATACACTGTAAATTGTAACATGTGTAAAATTTGGGGGTTCTGACTTTAAAGCATTCTTTATAAAATATACATTTACATGTACCTGTATGCTTTTATGCCTCATTATTTGTGAATTGATAAACAAGCCATAGAGAGTAAAGTTTGAATATGAGAGAGGGGGGAATGATTCCTGTAAAAAGGAAGATTTATTATATTTTGCTTGTTTTGCATTGACGGATCTCGTACTTGTTGTTATGTAAAATGAGAAAAATAGCCTAAATATGAATGAAAGAATGGTCAGCAGGAAATAAATTCTGTGTACATTACTTGTTCCTAACATGTATCTTTTGTCTTTCTCACAGGGAAAAAGATGAGAAAGAGAGACCAGAAAAATCCCTGCAGGGTATGCCATACATGTGGAAGGGTTTCCTAAGCAACACCACACCATTCACCCATGATATCTTAAAGACAAAGAACATTATCAAGATCTCACTCGGGAGCAAGCATTGTGCATTTTTAACAAACCAGAGATCGGTGTATACATACGGTAATGGGGAATATGGTCAGCTTGGTCATAAGAAATTCACAGACGTTACAAAACAGCCTGTCCTTGTGCAGGAACTGAAGAGCGAGAATGTTGCAGATGTCGTCTGCGGAAACAACCACACAGGAGTGGTGTGCGAAGATGGGATCGTCTTTTGCTGGGGGGATTCCACCAACGGACAATGTGGGATTGGTGTCTCAGAGAAGGTCAATATTCCAACGCAAGTTCATATAAGTGATGCGGACTGTGACCCGGTGATCACGCAGCTTTCTTGCGGGGACTCCCACACCCTTGCAATGTCCACGCAAGGCGAGGTCTGGGCCTGGGGTACTGGTCCACAGCTAGGACTCTCAACCGGTTCCACCCCAGTGTTATCCCCAAAGAAGGTCAGTGCCCTCATGGGCCGGAAAGTACTCCAAATGGCCTGCGGAGGCACCATGAGTCTTGTGCTCGTCCAAAGACTGAAATCGATGCGGTCGCCTGGCAACAAGTCCAACGAGCCTGAGGAGGAAGGGTCTGGATCTAGCCTAACCTGCCAGGACACTGTCTACACAATGCATGATGAAGGTGACACTGTTATCATATCAGACAACTCCTTGTTGTGTCCTGATTCCGGGGGCACCACATCTAGGAGTAGGAGTATATCACCTGATAGCATTGATGTGGCAGCCATACATGCGCAGCAGGCAGAGTGGGCGGCTGCAACAGAGGCAGTGGATAAGAAACGAAGAGAGAGAGGATCAACCTCTTCACAAGGTAGTAGTGAAGGTATGCATGACCCCCTCCTTACTAACCCACTAACTTCCTGTAGATCACCAGATCATACAGTGCTGTAAGTTGTAGTTTGATACAAGGTCATGTAGTTGTAGTTGTGACCCAATCCATGTTTAGTCTGTCATGAAGAGAGTAAATCAGTGGGCATTTTAAAGAGTGAAAGTGAATTCTCACAACATACAGTAATAGGTCCAGGATATCTTTCAAGATCCTTAAAAAAATGAGGACAAAGGAAAGATCTAATATGCTGTTGAAACATGTACCATAAGATGTAGGGCATATAAAGTTACTCCTGGGTATGTGAACTGGCAACTTTTCATACTCTGATTATTAATGTAAATTAGTTTTATAGCCTTCCTTTGTAGGCCATGTAAAGTAGACTTAGACCATTTTTCATTATAGTATGTTAAACCCCTGAAATCCCAAACTTCCACCCGTGTGGCACAACTTTGTAAGAATTAATGATACACACCTGTATGAATTTTACATTTGTTCTATTTAAAATGAACTTGAAGTGAATTCAGTAAATGAAGTACATGTATATTTATATACATTTAGATGAATACTTTCACTGGCTTTAGGCTTGTACACTGTAGATGCAGAGTAAAGCAGCTATATGTAAGGATACAATTTGTTTGATAAAATCTAACCGTACTAACAAGGCCATGAAATGCTATGAAGAATTTTTACTGCATGGTTTGAGCACTAGGTAGATTTATATTTTTTACATCTACATGTACATGTAGGGTACCATTAAAATAATTGACCAAAGTAATATTCTACTAAAACATGTAATGTACAAAGAAACTTTGTCCTGCTAAGGTGAATACTAATCTGTATGTGAGCTTTCTCATTTGTTTTATGTCATTTTGGACGAGTATCATAGAAGAAATGTCCTCTGAAAAGAAGAACGTTTCTTTCAAAATTCAATTGCACGACCAGACATCAAGGTTCCTTATCTTTAAAACATTTTATCAGAACATGAAAAGAAACGTTAGCAATTCAGAAACATTCAGGTGCAGATATTTTTACTTTGAAGAAAAAATTCTGCCTTCTAAAAGTTCTAGTGGGGTTATACATGTACTGTATGTACTTTACAGCATGTGGAATGTCTTGACACTGCTCTTTAGGAAGCTTTAGATTTATATGCATCTTGTGGAAGCATGCTGAACATTTTTTTAATGGATGACTGCTATGCAATAATTACATGAAGGCTTCACACATGGACACTGAGAGAGACACTAAGAGATAGAGAATGAGAGACAGAGTTAAAGAGAAAGAAGCAGAGAGAGAGAGAGAGAGAGAGAGAGAAAGTGTGTGTGTGTGTGTGTATGTGTGGGGGGGGGGCTGGGGTAAAGAAAGCAAGCATGATGGCATATTGCATTTTGTTAAAGTTATCATGTAATTAATTAGCTACTTTTCCAAACTTTGTGAGAGGTTTCTAGAGCTGCCAACTAGTACGGATTTCCCGTAATTGGTACAGAAATTAACGGTCATTACGGAATGCTGTCTAAAAATTACAGATTTAAAAAAATAAAAATAAATATGATTTATCCGACTGACATGCGAAAGAGTCCTACATACATGTACCCCAAGACGAACATGTACATGTATGGAGTAATATTAAAATTTAAAGCAATTTATGTACACATGTACATGCTTGAAAAGACATACCTAAACCGTGTCTGCTTATAGAATCAAAACATATTCCAATAATCACAAAAATAAACCCCTTTCTATTCTGAATCTGATATTTCATTTCATTTCCCTTCTTTCTCTTCTGGTTTTATATATACCTTAAAATACAAAAAATATATTTCAAAGTAGAAACAAAATAATTATTGAAAATAGTGCCAGGCATTTTGACTTCTTTTCTGCTTTGCAGGTACCTATACTTTGGAAGACTCGAGCGGTAATTTGAAGAGAATCAAAGAAGAAGCAAGTGAGCAGAGTGGTAGCCAACCCAACGGTGTCGCCAAGAATGGCATTGATGGAGGATGCGCAGAGGAAGATGAAGATGATGTCTTTACAACTTCTAAGGGCACGAAAGAACTTCTGGCAGAGCAGTTGAAGCCTCTCAATATACAAGGGAGTCCAGCGCAAGGTGTCGCCCCTCAGCAGCGACCCGGTCCCAGTACCCGTATCCTGGCCTCGCTGCCGCAGTCTGTGGCCCTCCGACTGGAGAAGATCATGATGCCCCGGACCAGCCTGACGGAGACTATCTCTCGGGCTAGCAGTGATAACTCCATCTGCGAGACAGAGCTGATCATCAGGGATAAGGATGCTCAGGCCCTGGAGTCTAGCTGTAACCTGCCTGATCGGAAGCTACGGACGATGTCCCCTCTGATGGGTGGGTTGGATGATCTGGTCTATCAGACAGAGGTCTGGAGCTTTGGGAAAGGCACCATGGGACAGCTGGGTCAGGGAGATACACTTGACAAGTAAGTTGTGTACAGCCATAGAGGCAAGAAGTAGGGGTGCTATAATTTGTGTACATGTCTCGGCTTATTGTAGCTCACGATATGACTGTTTAAGAATTTTAAAAAAGAGAGCGGAAGTGAGGAAGAGAGAGGATGATAGAAAGAAGAGATAGAATGATGGAAAAAGAGAGAAAGAGAGAGGATGATAGAAAGAAGAGAGAAAGAGAGAGGATGATAGAAAGAAGAGAGAGAGAGAGAGAGAGAGAGAGAGAAAGAAAGAAAGAGAAGATAGAGAATGAAAAATACAAAATGGGGAAAGATAGAAAAGAGAGAAAAAATAAAATGCTATGGAGCTACAAATTGTATACACAGCCGTACAACACACCTGCCTGTCTGTAATGTATACTTCCCGTACAAATAGTTTACTGCATGAAACAGGTAAATGCATTTGATTAAATGTCAGAAAGGGTACAGGATGACATTAAATTGACACTCAAAAGGGGGAGATGAAATACATACATGTACATGTATAATGGCATTTGAAGATCTAACTAAGATGTAGAACAATTATTTTGAGATAAAAAAGAAAATTAAAAGAATAAATTTGTATCAGCATCAAATATTTCTTATCATATTTTGTAATGCAATAGTATGTCACTTTAAGAATTTAGTGATAGAGGCTGAAGAATTATGGTAGTACAATGTTTAAAAAAAGTATACAACATTTAATGCATGTACATGTATGTTTAACAGTATAGGACACCTGTATCCATACATACATGTACATGTATTCAAGTTACTGCGCTTCATTCAAAAGCATATGGTGAGCCCATAGGAGTCTCAAATAACACACATTATTAATCTAGGGATAGGGTAGTGGGCAGTAAATTGAGTGGTACAGACACGTCGCCTGATATTACTAGTGTTATAAAGGTTAGGGTGTCTACAGACCAATTTATGCCAAACTGAGGCATGCCCCTAGGGAGATCGCACCATTTTGTCTCGCCTTCGCATTTATAAACAGACAGAAGGAAGGACTTGAAGTCTTGAATGCATAACCACATCAAATATGGAGTCATTCCCATGGTCTATTATACTAGTACTCAGTACTTTTTCTGTTGAGTTTTAGCAATATGTTCATTTGAAGAAAAAACAAAAAGGCATTTCAAAGACTACAATGTACTGTGATGTACATGTACCTGTATGCATTGTACTACTTGTAAAATATGTATGGTGTAAACAGAACTCCTGAACAGAATCCTTTTGATACTGCTATTTTCTTCTCTCCTGTTCCAAAGGTTAATTAAAACTCATGAATGTGAAAGGGCAGACAACAAATAATCTTATTCACTTCTACAGATAAGAAACTTCTTTTTTCAACATTCACCTTTTCAAGCCATTGAGAAGCATTTTTTAAACTAGGATTTTTGAATTTCATGGTTTATAAGGTGGATTTTATTTTAGTGTACAAGTAGCATCTGTTTTGATCATAATTGTTTCATTTTCACTTAATTTAGCTTAATATATTCAGAAATTTGTTATTGATATTTGTACTTTGCATGTGGTCATTGGACACAGTTCATGTTGTTGATTAACGCCAATGGTTAAAATGTGTGTATCCATGAACAAGATATAGCAACAGAGTGGATATAAATTATAATAAGTGACACATGTGGTCACTTAAAGTGTGCAGTAGGCCCCTATGTGGATTATTTACTGCAATAGGGGTCATATGTTCACCCCTGGCAGGAAGGGGTGGTGATCTTAATCGGCTTAAAATGGCTAACATGTGTAGCTGCAAGAGAGAAATATTAAGTTTAATTTCAGTCATCTCATTACATGAAGCACATGTTTTCATCTCCTTACATGTATATTCCTTGAATTTCTGATTTTTTTGTTTGTTCTACAGATATAGAAATGTATACATGTAGGCCAAAATTAATGATTGCACAATTCTTCAGAATTTTTTCTGCTTTGAAAATATCTTTTCTTTTAATACATCATCTGTTTGTGGGGGGGGGAGCTCTTATGTTAATGCCACTACTTTTCACACACTCTCATTCTCCTCCCTCCCTACGAGACAGATGTTCGTTCGTCCTTCAAACAATACCCAACCCATTCATCACTCTTGTGTGTAAACACATGGGATTGCATATGGAGACGGGTAATATTCATCAAAGATGCGGTTGGATAGGATTTGTCTGGAAATGTTTAGACTTTAGAGGAGACATAGATAATGAGCTTTTTAAAGGGAATACTCAAAAATAATCCTCGGAAATCAGTGATTTGTTTGTATTTTATACATTTACATGTAATTTGTGAGGTCTGTGACGAGTGGATGTTTTGCATATATCTACGAGTACCACCTACACATGTACGATCTCGATTGTTCATAAATAATTTGACTACTGTGCATTTGCACTCTGTGAAAGGGATATTATCAGCAGTTTCTCAATCTCTTGAAAACCCCTTCATTTGCAGACATTTATATCAAGTGCAGTCAGATGAAAATTGAAATGTAATCGGAGCTATGCCAAATGGGAACGTTAGACATCAAAGATACAATCTGAAACATATCAAATGAGTTTCATTCATTGTGTTTGACATGCAGGAAGTTTGCAGGGATCTTTTGGTAATTGAATCTATTGGTCAAATTTATCAAATTACAATCCTGGAGCACTACTCTTTGCTTTTTAAAATGTAATGGCATTACAACGAAATTTTCATATACCGGTAACGATATAAATGCCGATGCTAATTAGAATATAAATCTAAAGGGTAGAATGCAGGCGATGGTAGAAGAAAAGATGTACATGTACAAGAAGGGGGGGGGGAATTTAGACATGTATAATAAAAGATACACATATAAATGGAGAAAGGAAGAGAAAGAGAGAGAAAGAGAAAGAGAAAGAGATATATATGTACAGGGGTGTATATAGAGATAGAGCGAGAATGTTTCGCACCATGTATACATGTACATGTACAATGTACATGAAATAATCTGCCAGTCTTCTTGATTCAAGTCAGTTATTCTCCTTCAACAGTAAAAGCAAGCATTAATTAGATAATGAAATTCTTGTACTTCCAAATGTTATGACCGATACAACACTGCAACTTAAGTGAAATGTGTTTAATGCCAAAAGCCAGGCAACTACCCAAGTCGTCATAAGGCATGTTGCCAATAGTCAATACAGTCTGCATATTTGTTAATGTTATGCAGGCTAAATTGAGTTGAATGCCTGTGGGTATGAATGACCTGAATATAGCCCTGTCCAATTGAGTCACAATTCCTTAATGCCATCTGGCCAGCCTTCGTCGTCGTCATGAGTAATGAGCTCCTTCAGTAGCTAATGTCAAGACTACCTGTATGCGGTGACTTGACGGAAAAGCCTGATTTCCTCTGCCTTAGAGCCAGGCATTCATTTAACCTTGGAGGTGAATTTCTAGATTTGTCAGTTGATCCGATATTGACCTGACAGAACAATTTCAAATATTCCTAGAGCCAAAGTTACTCATGGACTTGTTGAAAGCGATGAAAGGATAGAAATTCATTCTTTTGAAGTAACTGTTGACCATGAAAGAGACCTTCTTCCTGTAGCCAGATTTGTCAGGGTCTCTAATTTAGGAAGTTATTTCCCCGGAGAAGAATGAAAGGGAAGATGCTATCGACCATGAAAAGATTTGAGCTGTGAGCTGACTATACAACTCTTATTCAGTCCCAACCAAATTTAGTCATCCCCATTTTGATTAGTAATTTTTTACACTGCATGAAAGATACCGGTACATCAATTTTCATTCATTTCAAGTAAAGCAAGGTCACTGGGTGAATCATTAATACATGTTTTAATTAGGAAAATTTTATTTAAGTGTACATGGAGACCTATCCTTAAACTCTACTTTACATGTACATATAGTCATATTATTACTACCGGTAGCCATTTACAACTATTATTGGCAAAAATGGCAAGTATTACTTAGTTTTGGCTGATTCAGATTAATCATGGAGACATTGATATTCTACATGAAATTATTATTCCTGTATTCATACTTTCATCATTTATTAGCAACTTGTATGTGTGAACCTCAGTACTGTAAATTCTCATTTCAACATCCATTCAGCCTATTGATGAATTTCACTTTTTTTTTTAAAGTTTGCATTGTGAATTAAAAATTAATTTTGGTTATAATTGTTATTTACATACTTACACGATTGATATACAAACATTGATTATTTCAGGCATACACCTAATACAATCAAGCAACTCAGCAGTAAGAGCATTGTGCGCATTGTGGCTGGAGCATCTCATTGTGTGGCTATCTCAAGCAATGGTCAAGTCTATACCTGGGGATGTAACTCAGATGGTCAGCTAGGACACACCGGTCAACTGGTCCCAAAGAGAGTAAAGGTAAGTTAGATGAAGGAGGAGAAGAAAGAAGAAAGAGAAAGAATGCTGGGGGAGAGAGATAGAGAGAGAGAGAGAGCGGGGGAGAGAGCAGGGGAAAGAGAGGGAGGAAGAGAGAGAGAGAAGGGAGAGAGAGGAAGAGAGGATGGAGGGAAAGGAATGAGAGGGAAGGGGCTGGGATGGAAGGGGAGAGGAGTGGAAAAGAGGAGAGAAAGAGGGGAAAGGGCTGGGAACAGAGGAAGGGAGGGGGAAACGGGGAAGATCATACACCGAAAAGGAACACCCCATAAAAAGGAGAAAAGAAAGAGGGCAAAGGATGTATACACATGTAGGTACAATAAATTAAACAAAGGACCGAGAAAAGGAGAAATAAAAATGAATATGATGGGACATAAGACAAAGATAGAGGAGGCAAATCCAAGACTTCTCTATATGTAATTCCTTCTTTGTTTTGTATATGAAAATGAAAGTAAACCGTGCATGATTCATCAATTAAAAGGATAGTGCCAATTTATACAGGCTTATTACATTAATAAGAGAAAAGGGGATTATGGGAACTCCCTTGTGTGTCACCTCTAATGCAGTTGCTACGACAACAAGCGTGATGTTTCATTTGAAGTCTGAATTTCAATGATTGTTAGAGTGATGGCATTCAGGCCTAACCAAATGTGTATTAGGTTTTTTTTATGAAGATACTTATTGAAGATACAATATGATTTTTATGCCTCCGCCACCGAAGGTGGTGCCGGAGGCATCATGTTTTCGGGTTGTCCGTCCGTACGTCCGTCCCGTTTGACCGTTATCACAATATCTCAAGAACCATTTAAGATTTAAACTTAAGACTTGGGAATAGTATTTATCACCATAGGAAGACGATCTGATTAGATTTTGGAGTACGTAGGTCAAAGGTCACAGGTCACAGAGGTCAACTTATGAAATTCCTTGTATTGAGTTTGTTAGCGCGATATCTCAAGAACCATTTGAGATTTAAACTTCAAACTTAAGGATAGTATGTATCACCATAGGAAGACGATCTGATTAGATTTTGGAGCACGTATGTCAAAGGTCAAGGGTCACAGAGGTCAACTTATGAAATTCCATACATTGAGATTGTTATCATGATATCTCAAGAACCACTGGAGATTTAAACTCCAAACTTGTTTAAATTGCTCTATGGCGGAGGCATCATTTTCGACTGCGCGCAGTCAAAATTCCATCTAGTTTTTTTATTGCTTTATATTAATCTAAGAATTCTTTAATATTCATCCTTTTTACTCGTTATTTTTTTCTCACAGTGAGAAAAGAAATTTGTTTCATTTGTAGATGAATATAAAAGGGTATGAAAAAAAGTGCTGGAATTCTGAGGAAGAAAAAAAAAACTTTCAACACATATAATTTTCCAGTTGCTTCTGATAGCTGTCTATATGGCAAGAAACTCTCAAGAATAGCATATTTATAGTGTTTTGATTTATCACTTTCTCAGCATGAAACATTTACAAACGTAGACTACTTGTAAAATTAATGAAAGTGTCTTGCATTGGGAGTCTGTGTTTATTCAGTAGCGAAACAACCACCACTCCCCATACATGTACACATCATTAGAAAGATCATGCTGTGTGAGTTTTTCTAAAGGGCTTTCCCTTTTTTCTGTGAAAGTTCCTTACAGGATATTACAGGAAGTCATAATTACATTTTTAGTTTCAACAATTACCCAGAGTCGATAACCTTCTCAATGTTTAGTATTACACATAAGGCTGTTGTCATGGATACACATGAATAAGGTCTTTCAGGATGTCAAGCACTTCCTGATATGTTAAAAAGAAATCAATTGCCTGAACGAAAAATTAACTTTCATTCTTTGTTCTTGCATTGAATAGAGATTGTGTCTTAAAAAGAAGGCAACTTGTCAAGAGGTTCTGTAGGTCACTCAAAATGTGTTAAATAAAGATAATTTGAAATTATGATTTCTTTTTTCATGTAATGTCATTTGGGAGTCATCTGTGTTAAACTTTTATGTTCTTTTTTCCCCAAGAAAGCTTAGCCTGTCTTCTCTCTTTCCAATTTCTATTTTCCTCTGTACTTCCATGGAATGGAAGTCTTACCCACTTCATTATTTTTTCACTATAATACTAAGCTATGCATGATTTATGAAATGCTCAGAATATGGCAATTTATGTCGTATCAACAATTATGCATTAGAACCTTTTTTTTTAATGTTTTAAAGCCAATTGTAAAATGGTATTCTACAACTTCATTCAAAATGTTAATGTTAACAAGAATGAATTACATCATTACCATATTACTTTCTATTTGTTATTGTTGTGCATTCAACAACTATTCAAGTTTATTTCCACATTTAGTTAATAACAAAACTAAACTTGTAAACAGAAAATCAAAATAGAACCTGAGATAGCTTTCAAAGAGTATGAGTGTACTCTTGTATTCTAAATTTTGTAATCAATTTCCACACCTTGATTTGTTTATTTCCTTTTCTTTGCAGATGCCTAACAACACCCCAGTATGGGATGCAGCAGTAGGGGGTACACACACCCTCCTCTTAGCAGATGGGACCAACTGCATGCCAGATGTCTACTACCTGGGCAAACAACCAAGGTACAATACATCATATATGTACATGGGGATCATGCAGTCACTGGGAGAGATGAACATTTTTAATATGCCAGCTCCAGTGACAATGTATTCTTGTGGAAACTTGATATGTTAGGGTTTTTTCTTGTCAGTTGGTGATTGCCAACCCTCCAACATTTTTCTTGGTATGCTCATTTGAATTCCCCCAACCCTCCATTTTTTCCCTTGGTATGCTCATTTGAATTCCCCCAACCCTCCATTTTTTCCCTTGGAATGCTCATTTGAAACCCCCCTTAGAGAAATTCCCCCCAATATGGAAATCCCAAAGGCTATTTTGAGGGCTATCCCATTTCAATTCTGGTGCAATTTACTTGTTGCTGCTATGCAGCTCAAAGTTGACTAAAAGCACATTGTGTTGGGTTTTGACAAGTTTAAAATCTGAATAGCATTTCAAAGTTGTTTGCAGTTCTATAAATCATTTTGAATTTTGAAAATCTTGCACACTACATGAAATTTAATCCCTATTTTCATATACATGTAGATAGATCATCACTGTCAGAAATGTTGTAAATGTTTTTTTCATCTTCTATAATTTGTCTTTATTAGCCTTCAAGAATTGAGGGCCTCCAACAGTACTCCAACTCCAGAGAGCCCTCTACGGGATGGAAGTGATAAGTCCAAGAAACGGCCTATGTCATCCTCTATCTCTAAGTCACCCACCGTCAAGTACGCAGCCAGAGCTAAGCAACCTGAGAAACTTGCCTTTCTCAAGAAGGTAACTTTAAAGAGAATGGGTAACTTTGTCTCAGATTCTGAAAAAAAATCCTGGATTTAGCTCGTGCTGAAATGATAATTATAAACCTTTAGGTCAGTCAGGAACCCCATGACTTTTGCAAGCCGATCGCCTGTCTGATTATGAAGCTACAGTCAAACCTGTCTATAGCGACCGCCCAAGGGAAACACAAAAAGTGGCCTTTGTAGACAGGTGGTCTTTGTAGACAGGTTTCTTTAGTACATGATTCAATGAGAAACCATTTTCAAGGGAAACAACAAATGTGGCCTTTGTAGACAGGTGGTCTTTGTAGACAGGTGGTCACTAAAGCAGGTTTGACTGTATTTATGATTCGAAATCGAAATTTAAAAATTTGTTTTCTTACGTTTTTTATAACACTACAGTCTAATGGGGAAAATCGGTATGTAAAACTGGTCACTCACAGATTTTTTCTTTTTTGAGGCACCATATCACAGAAACTGATAACACATAGGGCCATGCATCTCAGATTTAACATTGTTAAACGATGCCTTTAAGTGTGGAGTGCCTTCCCTCTTGTGTAGCTATTCGTCCCTTACTTCAGATGCGCCTGAGATAGGAGTCTGGAAAGAGTCGCCAGTCTTTTCAATAACATGAGTTCAACATATCCCACCGCTGCCACCATATTATACAAATATACACTGTCTTGTGAGGTTCTGGTTAAAACTATGCCCAAGAGGTGACTCCAATGCCCCTGAGATAGGAGTCCGTCAAGAGTCACCAGTCTTTTCAATGGCATGGGTCCATATCCCACCGCTGCCACCATATTACAGAATGGCCACTAGTCATGATGACGTTAGACCATCTTTAGCTATTTGTCCCTTGCTTCAGATGCTCCTGAGATAGGAGTCCGTCAAGAGTCACCAGTCTTTTCAATGGCATGGGTCCATATCCCACCGCTGCCACCATATTACAGAATGGCCACTAGTCATGATGACGATTGACCATCTTTAGCTATTTGTCCCTTGCTTCAGATGCTCCTGAGATAGGAGTCCGTCAAGAGTCACCAGTCTTTTCAATGGCATGGGTTCATATCCCACCGCTGCCACCATATTACAGAATGGCCACTAGTCATGATGACGATAGACCATCTTTATTAAAGTGTTACCGACTCAGATATTTATATAGACTACAGAAACTGTTCTAGAGTTGAAGCTAAAACAAAATTACTTATTAGAACAAATGACTTGCTGACCAATTGACAGCAGCAGCCATTCTAATGTACATAAAACAAGGCAGGTATCCAGCTGCTGCAGCTGTGATGTTAAGGAAGGATGACCAGTCACATTAATTTCAGTGGTGAAGAAACATCTTTAATGATTTCCAAACTCATTATTCAAGAGTTGGCTGAAGCGAGGTAATATACAACTGCATACCACAATGAGCAACATGAGGGCAGCATATAACATAACATGTTCAAAATGCTTGTACCAAGCTCTCCAGAGTTGTTACACAGTGTATTGACAAATTGAGACAAGCTAACTTAAGATCCAGCTTGGTATTGTTAGAGGGTATCACTTCTTCTCATGGCTTATTAGATTATTTGTTTATATTCCTCAGAGTTGTAAACTGTTTAAATTGCTTTTCGGTTATCTGATTACAAAATCCCTCCAATAAGTATGCTTTATCTAACTTTTTATTTTATTTTCATTTTCCAATGTAGAATGGTTGGTTGCAGGCTGTTGCTGCTTCATCAGACCAGTGTGCCTGTATTGCTGATAAAAGCAGTAATGGTTTTGTAGCAATCACCCATGAATTCTCAGCCACAGAGAGGCTCCTTTACAGTCAACTAGCTTCCATCAAATCCTCTATCATCAAGACTTTGCAAAGCTCAGGTAAGATCAAGGTGTTCTGCTCTTTTGAACAAAAAATAGTTAAAGGTAATACAAAGTTTTGGTATGGGGTCACGGATTTGGTTCAAATGAACACATTGGAAGCATGCGATCCTACAATATTCAGTGATCGTTGTCGTGGTTGAAATCGAGTCTAAAGTTAAAAAATTGTAAACAATAAGCTTTTTATGTTGTATAGCTCCCTCTCAAGGTCAAGTTATTAATTAAGCTATAAAACAATGTTTATTGACTCAAATCGACCAATTAGCTATTCCCATTCGGAAATTATATATCACAACTACATATTCTGAGATTGTCATGGTCGCAGCTATTGTATGGCCGTAGGCGCTATTTGAAATTTATCAATATTTACCGGGAGCACCGGTAAATCTTTATATTTGATTTTTCTCGAAAGCAGAAGTGTTTTAGGGGCTAAATTTTCTAGTGCTTATTATACATCCACAGGGGTATCCAAATATATCAAAATTGTAAAGAATCATTATCAACCTAATTTTCAATTTTTTCCAAAAATTTGTATTACCTTTAATATAAGCAACTTTTAAAAAAGGGCAATAAGATTTGCATTATTTCACCATGTCAACAGCCCATGCTTTTGCTTTGGGGGAGGAAGCATGAAGTACCCATATGCCCAAGCCTCTATAGTGGACACATGTTACAACAAGAGCATTTGGACAATGAACATTTTCCTCTTACATCGGGTATCTTGTCATTTCAGGAGTAAAAAGAGAAGAATATGAAAAGCGAGGACCAGGAAAATAATCTTGCTAGAGTGGGTTTTTTTAAGTCACAGCTTTTTATTAAGGTTCAACTGTATCATGGATTGTGATTTAGAACCTCCTGAAAAAACATGCATACAGCAGATTGTGTTATGATCTAAATGATACCTTCTTGATTTTCGGACATGATCTAACTTACAGAAGTACAGAAGTCTGTGGAAGGCACCATCTACAGCGGGCCTCTGAGACTCATCCTGGATCTCTATGGGTCAATCTGTGGCCTTGTAGCACAGAACTGCCTGCACCTGACGGGTCTAGTTCAGCGCAACAAGGACTTGTGGGACGTGATGATGCTGAAGGAGATCGGTCGCTACATCCAGCTCTTCCAGGAATATGCCAACGCTGTCTGTGATTTCATTACTATCACAGGATTCACCCACCTAGGAAAAGTCGCCAAGTAAGACCCCCAAAATTAATTCTTTTTTCCAAGAATTTTCTTTTCTTCACGCAGAAGCTAATTTTGTTGTATATCTATTAAAGTAAGCAAACTTTATGTATGATGAGGTTTTTTTTCCCTCCTAGAAGTAGAATTATGGGCAAACCTCCATCTACTTTTGATAGTTTTGTATAATCTGGAGTTCTAGTGTTGGTATTCTTATCGTATTTTGAGAGAAATTGGCTTTAATCATTCTGCATGCAGTCTTTCCCTAAATGTCTTCAAAAGAAGGTTAAAAAATCACCAATATAGAATACTTATAATTCTTTATTTACTATATCTATGATCAGACTTTTCTCTCACTTTGTATTTTTTGTCTTGGATATGCTTCTCTGTTTTCTCTGTATTTATATATATATTTGTCATATTGTTTTTGTGGCATTGCCAATAAGTCTCTCGCCTTTATAAGCTGTCTCCTCATGTAGCATTATTATTTTGTGAACTTTTATATGAATTTATTTTATTAATGAATTAGATAAATGTTATCTTAAACTTCAGATAAGTTTCCATCATTACATTAACCTGAGATTATGATTATTGTCTGTTTTGCTTGTAGTGATGCCTTGGCTAAGCATGATGCTGTGTTTGCAGAAGTATTGAATGAAGAGAAACCAACAGTGTATGGAGCACCTCTTAGGATGGCTATGAAGTTACCGTTGGATAGAATCAAGACCTACTCATATCTACTCACCAAACTCAGAGACTACTATCCAGAGGTAATATACAGTTCATACAATTTTGATTCTACTAAACAAAACTGCCTTATATTTAGGTTAAAACCTTTGGATTATGTACCTAAGAGGCAAGTGTGGCTAGTATATGTTTATCCATAATAAAGATGTCTGATATTTCAGAATCTCTGAGCTCACAACATGCTTAAGGATCAGTTTTGGTTCCTAAAAAAGTATGTGTATTCCTCAATTTCTAAATACTATTAGATGCTACTTTTAATGTACAGTTAAACCTGCTTTAGTGACCACCTGTCTACAAAGGCCACATACATGTATGTTGTTTCCCTTGAAAATGGTTTCTCATTGAATCATGTACTAAAGGAACCTGTTTACAAATTCATTCAAAAATTCAAAAATGGTTTTATTATAGCAGAAAGACCACCTGTCTACAAAGGCCACTTTGTGTGTTTCCCTTGGGTGGTCACTATAGACAGGTTTGACTGTATATGCACTTTATTTCTATTTATTATAAACCATTCATGAATTATTTTACACATATTCTATATGTGAAACAAACTAAAATGTTATTCTAATTCATTTGACTACAGTACTTGTACATTCAAAGAATACATTATATACACATTTATAAAAGAAAATTGGTAAGAAGAAATTACTATTCTTAGATTGAAAAGCTTTGCTATTTTACCAAACAAAAGCTCAATACTAGTTTTGTTTTCACCTCTTTAACAGGACTCTGGTGAGTATAGTCTGCTTGGTGAGTGCAGTGCATCATGGGAAGAACTGAAGAAGACGGTGGAGAAGAAGCAATCTGATGCCGATGACACAAGGACCTTCTGGGAGTCTTGCCCTGCCAAGTTAGCTGTAAGTTGAGACTAGATGAAGCAAGATGAAATGGGTGTTGATAGATGCCTGGAATGCCTTTGAAATTACTCCTTTGGTTAAGATGATATACAGTGAAATCTGTCTATAAAGACGACCCAAGGGAGACAAGAAAAGTGGTATTTACAGGCAGATAGTCTTTATGTTCAAGTTCCTGTAGTAAAGGTTTTTATGAGAAACCATTTTCAAGGGGAGCAAAAATCTGGTCTCTGTAGACAGATGGTCTTTCTATACAGGTCTCTAAAACAGGTTTGACTGTACATGAATTCAACCCTATATACCAGTATGATACCACTTTTCTAAACACTGGAAAAGTTTGGAAGTTTTCCTCAAACTTCAGTTCATAGTGCATTCAAGGAATTCATCCTAATAGGAACCACTTACTATACAAGACGTAGATTAGTGTCGTGCCAAGGGATGTTGATACCATTTAGTGGCTCAAACACATGACTGTTAAACTGCCAGAGAAAACTTTAAACACCTCCTTTTATGTAGGACCTAGTAAATACTTTGACATACATGTACATTACATAGTTCTTGCATGTTGTCCACAAGGCAGGATGAATAATAATCTCCTGTCTATTTCTCTCAGGAATCTATCAAATCTCCAGACAGACGACTGATCCGGGATAGTCGTACCAAACCCCTGCAGGTTGCCAATGCCAAACGACTCTCAACTCATTGGTTTCTGCTCTTCAATGATATCTTGGTTCATGCCTATGTGAGTAAACTTCTAATAAAAGGTGTAGCTTTTATGCCAATGTCCATCTAGGTTCATGGATTCGAGGTGACATAATAATAATAATAATATGTCTTGTTTACCCAGGGTAGCCTCATCAGTAAACTAAAGAAATGTAATTCACGTATCACATTAGAATTCCAATTTGACATTGATTCATAATGTTAGTTACCAGTACACTTAATTACTAAACAGAAATCCACAGATAGTGGATGAGAGTGTGTACTTTTAGTAAGGGATGCAGTGTTTGCTTGTCATATTCCTGATTTTGTTGTTGTTTATATAACCTTTGTAATTGAAGTTTGGAGGAATAATTCCTAATAATGCATTCACTTTAATGAATTTTTCAGGTTTTAGGATTATCATTTATTCATTATTCGCTGTCTTTGAGTCAGAGGCTTAAGGCATATCTTGTCAGTTGGCTGTGGATCTGGGCATATCGGGAGCTCTTGTAGCGCAGTAGAATATATACTTAATGTTGGATAGTTTGTGCGCTTTGTAAATGTATTATTATTACCCCTGAAAATGTACATTTAAAACATACAAATGCTGTCAATTAATACCACTTTCCTGCTCTTTGTACTGTTTAAAAAGTACTGTAGCAAATTTATAACTTAAATCTGTGATGAAACATGATATTATGCAATGTGGGATAAAGACTTAGAAGCTTAGAAAAAGAAATGTAACTTTTGTGACATCTGGAGGTTATGGAGACACAATATACAGTATATGTTAGCATATCATCGTTGCATTTCAAATATAATTCATGCCCTTTTTTGCTACTTATTATTTAAATAATTTAACACCAAAGGATGATGCAAAAGTAGCTCTGCCTACTATGCAAAGAGCTCCTGAGCCACAAAAGGTAGATTGTTTTTTTGTAGTAGGCTTTTTGTTGTGTAAATAAGTATCAAGTTTAAGCATGTTGAACCAATTTAGTTTGCTATCTTCCCTCATGTATCTTGATTTAAATGTTTATTGTAGAAATTAATTGTAAGTGCTAAAGATGCCAGTTACAAGAATCCAAATGCACGAGGTTCATTATAGATTCCTAAATCCTAAAATCCCATCTTGCCAAGTCACCAAAATGATACGTAGGTGGTTTGATATCAGTAAAAAGATTTAGTCAACACAATCAGTAGAATACTATGCCATAACTGTCGCAATCAGTGTTATGATACCTTAAAACGCAACTCGATAAAGCCATCCAAAATCTCCCTTTTTACAAGAAAG